TGGATAATCATTTGTCTGAAGTGGTGTAGGGTTTCCTGCCTAAGCAGGGGGTTGGACTAGAAGACCTCCAAGGTCCCTTCCAATTCTTGTTATTCTGTACATTTACCTTTAACTCCTAGTAGAAGACCCTGTTGTTCGGCCAGGCTGGGCTATCAATATAATAATTTTAAATTGGGGTATTTTAAATTTCTGGGGTTTTAAATTGAGCCAAATCTATTTATTCATTTTAAATTTTTAACCGTTGTTTTGTCTTGTGTTTTTAAATAGGCCGTACACCGCCCTGAGTCCTTCGGGAGAAAGGCGGTATAGAAATAAAATTATTATTATTATTAGTAGTAGTAGTAGTTTGGTGAAAAGAGTTTCATTCTACGGTTCTCTAATGCTTCCATTTCTAAATTCAGGGATGTCTTTTTCCTCATTGTGTGCTATTCCCTGGAGGTTTACATCACCTGCTTAGCAGTAATAATGTTCTCCTCTTAAATGTTTTATTAGATAGCTTTCTCTCATCACAGTGTGAATTCTCCCCTTTCCTTTACTCATTTATTATTACGCTCTTGTCACGCTCTTTGGAGGAAAAATAAAAGCTAATCAAATATTAGTGGATATGGTTAAAGGATGAAACACAGCTATTGAGGATGGCTAAGTGGAATGTCTCGGTATACAGGTCGTCCTTGACTTATGACAATCGGGACCACAATTAATGTTGCTAAGCAAGGAGGATGTTAAGCGAGTCACACACAATTTTACGATCTTTTTTTTTGCCAGGTTTAAGTAAATCACTGCAGTCATTGAGCAAATCAGATGGTCGTTAAGCAAATCCAGCTTCTCCTGTTGAGTTTGCTTTTCGGACGAAGCCAGCTGGGAAGGTTGCAAATGGTGATCACGTTATCCCTGGATGCTGCAACTGTCATAAATACACCCAAATTTTGAAATGTCTATGGAGATTCTCTGTCATCCAAATCATGGTTGTCCTGAAGGTGCTTTTTTCAAGAGGCAACTGGACTTTCTGGTTTTTCTTTGAAGACGTTTCGCTTCTCATCCAAGAAGCTTCTTCAGCTCTGACTGGATGGTGGGGAAGGGAAGGATTTATATTCCTTGCAGACCTTTGCACAGGTTCGCCTGGTGCACCAATTGCGACCCTACTTGGATCAGGAGGCTCTCCTCACAGTCACTCATGCCTTTGTCACCTCACGGTTAGATTATTGCAATGCGCTCTACATGGGGCTACCCTTGAAGAGCGTTCGGAGACTACAGTGGGTCCAGAATGCAGCTGCGAGAGCTGTCGTGGGTGCACCTAGATACACCCACATTACACCAATTCTCCGCGAGCTGCACTGGCTCCCTATTGGTCTCCGGGCACAATTCAAGGTGTTGGTTATTACCTTTAAAGCCCTACATGGCTCAGGGCCAGGGTATCTTCGAGACCGCCTTCTGCCGCATAGCTCCCAGCGACCGGTAAGATCCCACAGAGTTGGTCTCCTCCGGGTCCCGTCAGCTAAACAATGCCGACTGAGGGGCCCGTGGGGGAAGGCCTTCTCTGTGGCTGCCCCAGCTCTCTGGAACCAGTTACCTCCTGAGGTCTGGACCATCCCCACCCTATTGGCCTTCCGGAAAGTGGTGAAGACCTGGTTTTTCCAGCAGGCCTGGGGCCATTGATCACGCTCTTGCGATCTTGCGAGATCCGGCCATGAATGGTGTGCATGGGCTTTTAATGTTTTTAAAATGATTTTATAATGTTTTTTAATAATTTTTCTATGTTTATTGTTCACATTATTTTTGCTGTAAGCCGCCCAGAGTCCCTTGGGAGTTGGGTGGCATATAAATCGAACCAATAAATAAATAAATTAAATTAAATATTTATCACCTCACTCTGAGGATGCTATGACAGTTGACAGTCCCTCTGCTATTTACTCACTTCCAACTTTTGAGACTGGATCTAAGCAGGAAGAATAGAATAGAATAACAAAGTTAGAAGGGACCTTGGAGGTCTTCTAGTCCAACTCCCTGCTTAGGCAGGAAACACTATACCATTTCAGACAAATGGTTATCCAAGCTCTTCTTAAAAACTTCCAGTGTTGGAGCATTCACAACCTCTGGTGGCAAGTCGTTCCACTGGTTAATTGTTCTCACTGTCAGAAAATTTCTCCTTAGTTCTAGGTTGCTTCTCTCCTTGATTAGTTTCCATCACTTGCTTCTTGTCCTGCCCTCAGGTGCTTTGGAGAATAGCTTGACTCCTTCTTCTTTGTGGCAGCCCCTGAGATATTGGAAGACGGCTATCATGTCTCCCCTGGTCCTTCTCTTCACTAGACTAGCCATGCCCAGTTCCTGCAACCGTTCTCCGTATATTTTAGCCTCCAGTCCCCTCATCATCTTTGTTGCTCTTCTCTGCAGTCTTTCTAGAGTCTCCACATCTCTTTTACGTTGTGGCATCCAAAAGTGGATGCAGTATTCCAAGTGTGGCCTTACCAAGGCCTTATAAAGTGGTATTAACACTTCATGGCAGGGCTTTCCTCCTCCTCCTCGGACTGCTCTCCAACAGCCAGCTGGAATGCTCCGTTCCCCTGCCATTGTCCCCAGTAAAAATTCTGTGTTTACATATTGCAAAAAAAGATATCGAAATAAAAGCATTTACGGCTATGCCTGGAAGCTCACAAAAACAGCTTGGTAATTTTTCCTGCAAAGTTTGGGATACCAAACGGCTGGTTAGATGCCGTTTAATGGGGCACACTTGGGAATGTCGAAATCTGCTGTGGTTCCTTTTAAATTGGCTGCTTTAATGGGGCCTGTGAGCTCACATTCCAATAATGAGGCTGGCGATTTTATTTCACCAGGATGATGATGGGTCTCAGTGGAGTCCTAAGACCAACTTGGAAATTTAGGCATTTGCTGAGATGGATACCTTGCTTCTCGGCATGCCTGCTTCTTCTTAAAAATTGAGAGGAAAAAAGAAAAGGAGGCAGGGGCGAATGCTGGATCCCAATAGAACCTTCTGAGCTCAGTGATACCATGGCCTGGTATCCCTCGGGCAAAATTGAGCTAACTGGACCATTCACGCGTTTCAGTTTAAAACAGCTTTCTATGCTGCCAAGTGGAGGTGAGTAAGTTTAGTCTGGAAAGAAAGGTGTGATTTCCCTTTAATAGTCTCCTAAGAACTATATTCCAAGAGCTTCAGCAAAATATTGCTGGAAAGAAAAACCAGTTGTGCAGCATCTTTGAGCAATACATCCAAAATCTTAAGAGCGTCGGCAGTTTGTTGTAGAAAGAAAAGCTGGATTGGGAGAGGGAATTTTGTTTTCCTTCTTTTAATTAACGTTAAAATTTTAATTAACGTTAGCTAACTTTAAAAGTCGCTACAAAAATATATGCCACCAAATAAAGACGGTGTAAAGTTTCCGAAAGATGCCCTAATTAATTCATGAGCCATGATCCAAACTTCAAAGGAAATATAGTCATTTATTAGGAGCACCATTCCGGCAATATTGGGATGCAGTTAGGACTGATCCTCCGTAGATTTACGTTCCCCTATGACCCTGTCTCTCCCCTCCTCTCTGGCCATGTCATAAATCACATTCTCCAATTAACCACTTTGGCTGGCTGTGAAACCTAACACCCTCCTTCTGATTGCGGTCAGGAAGAATGTATGGAATTCACTTCAGTTCTCCCTCCCTCCTGCTCATGGCAACTTGAAAGCTTTGCAAGTTGACAGACAGAAAGCTCCAATTACCACATCAAAGAAGAAGAGAACCTTCTGCACACAAAATCCAACTGCGCCTTCTATAATTTTGTAAACAACAAACTTAAAAGACTCGAGATCCATCCCACCCCTAAAAGGACCTAATGGTAAAGAATGCAATGATGAAGCAGTTAAAGCAATAAATAAATAAAGTTGGAAGTCCACAAGTCTTAAAGTTGCCAAGGTTGGAGACCCCTGCATTAAACCAGGCTATTCTGTTTTGCTTTGGTTTATTTTAATGGATCCTGCATTATCAAAAGCTTAGACACGTTAAAAAATTATCAGCATAGTAACTAAAATAAATAGCATCCCTTTGGGGTAGATGTGGGGTATATGGGTTACTTCTGGATTATTCTGTATTCTTTTCCCTCAAACTTTAAACATGAAAAAAAATGATTCTATAGGGTAAGTTTGGTATTACGTGTGCATGCAAACACACATACACATTCAAAGTGTCCCAAAGATGCTTTTTCAGAAGGCAACTGGACTGTTTTTTTCCTTGAAGGAGTTTCACTTCTCATCCAAAAAGCTTCTTCAGTTCTGACTGAACGGTGGAGGATAGAAGGATTTATCATTCCTTGCAGTCATCTGGTTATTAGTACTCTCTCTGAGAGTCATTGAGGCCACTTGGAGGTTTATCTGTGTCCTCAGGGTCACCAGAATAGTGCAAATGGGCGTGGAGCCTTCTTGGAACTGCTGAAGGGACCATGTTGTAAACAGGAGAGAGATAGTGTCACAGATAAACCTCTAAGCTGCCTCAGCAGCTCTCAGAAAGAATGCAGAATCCTCCCATCCTCCACCAATCGAAGAAGTTTCTTGGATGAGAAGCGAAACATCTTCAAGGAAAAAACGAAGTCGAATTGCCTTTTGAAAAAGCACCTTTGGGACAACCATGATCTGGATGACTGAGAATCTCCACAGACAAAAGGTTTCAGTTCAAGAGCCTTCAGTGGAATTTTAAAAATGTTCCTTTTGGACATTTCATTTCAGGGCTGAAACTAGATCTTGGGTCATTCCAAATTAGATATGAAAACAGGGCCAATGAGATCTGATTTTGAGACAGATCCTTTCCATCTTTCTAACGCGTCAGCCCGTTCAACAGTAGAACAGATTGCCTTAGGATGTTGCAGACTCTTCTTCCCTTGGATTCTTTAAACAGAGGCTGGACAGAATTAGGCATGGATACAGCAGCAGTTGAAACTTGTCCTACGGTTCTTATAAAGACCGAATTAACCTTTTATTTAAAAAAAACACTGTGCTTCTCTGTGGTGTTTAAGAGGTTTAATAAATTAAATTAAGACCACATTATAGTCCAAAGCTTTCAAGAACAAAATAAGGTACAATAAAATCCATAGTTTAAACCAGCATGGATAAATATCTTAATTAGACACAGCTTAAAAACTTTTCCACATTATTTCATCGTATTCTTACTCCCTCCAATGTTTTCTGATGGGCAAATTATTTCATTTTATCATTTTTTAGATAAGAAGAAAAGAGACAGCCAGGAGATTCAGATAAGGTCCAAGATGAAGAGAAGGGAAGAACTGGCGCCCCACCTCTATTATTTTTGGCTTGAAAAAGTGGAACTTTGGAGACAGCATCCTTGCTCCATATCTACCCCTTCCAGGGAATGCCTGAAAGCAGGCATCTAGGTAAATAAGCATGAAGAACCAAAAATAAGCAAACTTAACGTGAAGAAACAAGTAGCCCGTGTAACTTTTAATACTGGTTAAAAACCATCCTTTTCTTAACTTTCAGCTTGCGGCTTGACTGCTAGGCAGGCTACTTACATTATAGCTTAATTGTTGCTAGTTGTCTCTACTTGACTCAGAGAAGGGAGGCTGAATTTTGCTTAAAGGGAACAGTCAGTTTCCAATCTGTGTTTCGAGGGGCCTTCTCTGGCCTTCAGAGAGTACGAAACCTGGGTCCCGCAGTCACTATAATATCAGCGTAAGGAGCTGACTGGGCCAGCTCAATCGTTTGTTGTTTCTGGAGAACCAGCAAGCTGTAGAAGTTCTCTGCCACTTCTTTCTTGTTCTGGTCCTTGCAGAGGGAGAGAAAGCTGAACGATTTTGCTCCTTGTTGTTCGAAGTGCTGCAGGGGAGAAATAAATAAATAAATAAATAAATAAATAAATAAATAAATAAATAAATAAATAAATAACTGAGATGGATATATTATAAGCAGAGGCTAATTCTGTATCTGGAATGGACCACAAAACAGCTTTATGAGAGAGGCTGTCTGCCTTTGGCGGTTCATACGGACTAAGAACTGTCGATAGGAAAATGGGATAGAGAGTCTAAGGTGGAAGAACAAATGTGCAGAATTGATGAAGGCCAGACAAGGAATCATGGATGGAAACTGATCAAGGAGAGATTGAATCTGGAAATAAGGAGAAATTTTCTGACAGTGAGAGCAATCAACCGAAGGAACAGAAGTTGCCTTCAGAAGTTGTGGGAACTTGATCACTGGAGGCTTTCAAGAAAAAACTGGACTGCCATCTGTCCGAAATGGTGTAGGGTCTCCTGCTTGGGTGGGGGGTTGGACTAGATGACCTACAAGGTCCCTTCCAACTCTCTTAATCTGTTATTATTCAGTTATTCAGAAGTTGTGGGAGCTTCATCACTGGAGGCTTTCAAGAAAAAACTGGACTGCCATCTGTCAGAAATGGTGTAGGGTTTCCTGCTTGGGTGGGGGGTTGGACTAGATGACCTACAAGGTCCCTTCCAACTCTCTTAATCTGTTAATCCTACTTTGTCAAGCATGTAGCCACAAGGGGCAATCCACTGGCTAAATCTGCTCCCACCCTCTTGTCCTTCTGGAATGGCCTGAAGTTCTGGCTCTGCCAATTGATTTAGAGCCCAGAGGCAAAAGTGGCTAATAGATTAGATGATCCATCTCCATCCTGGTTATGCGTTGGTCCAGTCTGATATCAATTGGAATGTTTTAATTTATAATGCTTCATGTCTTAAAATTTTTGTCCTAATTGTATTAAGTAGTTTATGGGGCTTCTTATATACAGGTAGTGCTAGCTAGACTTATGACCACAATGCGGCCCAAAATTTCTGTTGCTAAGCAAGACAGTTGTTAAGTGACTTTTACCTCATTGTATGACCTTTCTTGTTAAGTGACTCACTGCAATTGTCAAGTTAGTAACTTGGCTGCGAAGTGAATCTGGCTTCCACCTTGACTTTGCTTGTCAAAAGGACACAAGAAGTGATAGAATAGAATAGAATAACAGAGGTGGAAGGGACCTTGGAGGTCTTCTAGTCCAACCCCCTGCCCAGGCAGGAAACCCTACACCACTTCAGACAAATGGTTATCCAACATCTTCTTAAAAACCTCCAGTGTTGAAGCACCCACAATTTCTAAAGACACACCATTCCACTGTTTAATTGTTCTCACTGTCTGGAAATTTCTCCTTAGTTCTAGGTTGCTTCTCTCCTTGATTAGTTTCCATCCATTGCTTCTTGTCCTACCCTCAGGTGCTTTGGAGAATAGCTTGACTCCCTCTTCTTTGGGGCAGCCCCTGAGATATTGGAACACTGCTCTCATGTCTCCCCTAGTCCTTCTCTTCATTAAACTAGACATACCCAGTTCCTGCAACCGTTCTCCGTATGTTTTAGCCTCCAATCATCTCCTAGTCTTCTTTATTGCTCTTCTCTGCACTCTTCTCTGATCACATGATCCCGGGACAGTGCAACCGTCATAAACGTGAATCAGTTGCCAAGCGTCTGAATTTTGATCACATGACCATGAGGATGCTGCAACAATCATTAAGTGTGAAAAACAATCCTAAGTCACTTTTTCGGTGCCTTTGTAAATTTGAACCGTCACATTCGAAGTTACAACGGCACTGAAAAAAGTGATTTATGACCATTTTGCATGATTGACCCCATAGTCAGGTGATCAAAATTCAGACACTTCCCAATGGAATATACTATTTATGACATCTGCATAACATCTGTCCCAGAGTCATGTGATCACCTTTGGTGACTTTCTGGCAAGAAAGGCAATGGGGAAGCCAGATTCACTTAACACCCTTTTTACTAACTTAACAGCTGTAGTGATTCTCTTAACAACGGTGGCAAGAAAGGTAGAAAAACGGAGCAAAACTCACTTAACAACTTGTCTGGCTTTGCAACGGAAATTTTGGGCTCAACTGTGGTCGTAAGTTGAGGACCACTTGTATGAATATCTGAAGAGATCCGCACATCATTTCAACTGAATATTGGGGAAAAAGTAGCGCAAATCAGCTGGCATAAGGATAAAGTATTCTTTTTGCCCTCTTGATTTTCAGTCCAGAAAACGCAGGATAAGGATGAGTCACTGGCAGTTTAGGAATAAGAGCTGGCTAGAATTACGGCCTGGGTAAAATGATAAAGACCTTAACATGAGGTTGGATTATATTGCTAAAACACGCTATCTGCCATTTCATGAAGAGCTTTGGCTTGAGCCTGGGGCACAGCAAAGAGGATGATTTTACAGAAATAGAATGGCAAATATGACAAATATCCTCTTGATTTCAAGGAATAGATTCAGGGTATGCATCTGTTTTTTTTTAATTCTTCATAGCCTAAAATGAGAAGTTTTAGATAGTTTTAGATTTAATCATGTGCTTAGATATCAAATGTATTTATATTAATATGTCCATGGATATTATATAGGTCTTTTCTGTCATTCTTTCTGCCTTTTCCCAACTCACATTTAATTTGCTTTAATCACCATAGTATATTTAGAGTTTTTCCTTCATTCTTAATCAACATATATTTGTTTTTTTCTGTTTGTTTTCTATATGTTACTATTATATTTAAAAAAAAACAACAGTTTCACATCCTTTTAAACTGGAGTTATCAGGACATTTTAGTGATTAAATAACATGAAGAAAGGTTTATTATGTTTGGTAATATCTTACCCGGAAAGTATTTAATAGCTTTAATGTTCTCTTACTTCTCCTTTGTTCTTCATTGTCCAAATTACTTGTCTGGGATCCCTATATCGCAGATCAAAACAATTACTTATTGATAAAATTCACCTGAATGAAGATAAAAGGCAGCATAAAAAATAAAGAATAGACATAGCTCATATATGACTTCCCAAGCCTTGTCTTCTAGTTATTATCCTCTCTAGGAAATTTCACTAGGAACATTTGTTCTACATAACTGATTTGGCAAACCAGACCACATACCTAAATTTGCAATTCTTTAATAAAGTTGATTAAAAGTATCAGTAAAACTGCCCATAGAGCATAGAACTATCAGAGACGTTATTTAATTTTTAAAAACTCTATCTGATTATTCTTAAAGGACTTTTTAAAAAATGAAATAAATTGCATCACACACTGAGCAAAGAATAATGCACATCGAATTCAAATCAAAAGTACAAATTAAAAATTTATTATTCTACTGATATTACCAGGTGAGCAAAAAAACTCATTAAAAGAAAGCATCAGAAACATAAAACTTTCTAAGAAAACATACCTCCAAAAGACACTTTTCCTAATGGATGAAAACTGAGTTTACCCCATGGCGCCTCTCGGCCACCCTCCCTATGCTGCACTACTCGTGCACGCTCCCTCACATGGTGACCCTTATGCACTGTGCTCCCTCCCCAACCTGCACCCCTCACTTTATCCTCATCTTACTATGCAGCACCTCTCACACACACCCTTGCACCTTTGCACACACACCCTGCACCTCTCTTGTGCACTCCAGTACATCCTTCCCCATCCTCCGTCCCTCTCCTCACTTTCTCCCCCATCTAGCAGCAGTCACCTGTCCTGTGGGCCTGGGTCATGCAACTTTCTATTAGCTTCCTTACTGACTTTGGTTGTGGGAAGTGGATCAGGAAGTTGCATTGCCTAACGGTGGGATTGACGATAGCAACTGGGAGTGCATGGAGTGTTAAACTTAGTGATGGACGGAAAGAAGGGCTAGGGAGAGGTATGTAGGTAGAGGAGGCTTACCCCAGCGATCTTCCCTGCTGGCATCTCCTTTCTGGGGAAGCCGGCATGGAAAGTTGCAAATTGTGATCTTGCGATCACGGGGGCGCTTGGCGATTGGTTCTGGGAACGGGTTACCAAATATCCAGATTGCAATCATGTGACTGCGGGGGAGGGATGCTGGGATTGGCAGAACTCTAAGGACCGATCTTAACCACCATTCATCTAGTGCTGTCTTTACTTCCAACGGCCACTGAATGAACAGCTGTAAATCGATAACTAGCTGGAATGGAAAGATCTTTGAAATAATTTTTTTCCCATTCAGAAAAGGATCCATTGTTCAGATTCAGATTGTTCCACAAGTGCTACATGGTCACTATTCGGTATTGAAGTTTAGATGATTGTAAACGTTACATTTTCCAAGACAGCTTGCCCGTTTTCGGATTCTTGTTGTACTGAAGATGGTAAAAGGTCATCGGACAAAGCAGACACGTCATTAACTGATTCCTAGTATTAAAAGAAGAGTGGGGGGGGGAAACGAATCTGCGTCAGCTCTGTTCTGCTCCTGTGTTTATTATTCTGCAGAAAATGAATGGTTAAAATGGAGTCTGTATTTCTCTGCTGTATTTTATACTTCACACAAAAAAAGAAATGAGAAAATAATGGAAGCTGCAGGTAGAAAACATGACAACCTACCCTATTCCAAACAATTCTGTTTCAGGCAATTCTTAATTAGAAACACAGAATATTATGACTTCTTTTTTTTTCTGAGATCCTTCACCCCCCTTCAGTATACTGAGAGTGTTGAACTGAAGCTATAAAATCCCCATTCAACTGGATAGCTTATCACTTCACTGGATAATTTGAGATCAAACTTTATCTTTTAATCCAACCAGAGGATTAACATCATGATAAAACGGGGCTGGAAGAGCCATGTAATCAGGCCTGGAGGCAAATCGGGATATAAATCCCATTTATTTGGGCATTTGTGAATGAAATTATATAGCCCATAATATTTATGAACTGTCTCTTTACCAAATTTACATTTTAACTGTGGCTCAAACTTGTTATGAATTTCAATACTGTTAAGTCATCATGAATTATGCTTTGATATGAGAAGAGCTAGAAATAGATACTTTAATAAGTAAATATAAATAACTGCTCAATTAAGTGACAGTACCCAGTTAAGCTTGTGATCTCTAAAAGTTAAGTAGAGAAGGATTTGGCTAATATTTGTAAAAATACTAACCAAATAGGAATAAGTAGGAACCAAATAGGAATGAAGTTTGGAAAGTCAAAAATATATCCGTCTCACTCCTGTTCAAGAGTGTGATGGAATTTTAGAGTTCTGTGATGTTAAATATGAACATTTTAGAAGGTTTAGGAGGATTAAACTGTAATTTGTCAACTTTGTAAGAAGTCCAGTTTACCCATTTTGATGGAAGTACACCTATTGCCTAAACATATTAAAGCTTAATTTGTTCTGAAAGTACTTACCATAGTTATAAAAAATGTATTGTCACCCCTTTCATTTCTGCTACTTTGTAACACAGATTCTTTTTGGGGATAATTTATGTCCTGCTGTATATTTAAGCTTTCTGCTACTGATAGTTCTATATTGATAATAAGAGAAAGTAGTTAATTCTTGTCCAAGGTACTTAGTTTAGTTTAGTTTATTTGATTTGTATACCGCCCTACTCCCGAAGGACTCAGGGCGGTGAACAGCCAAGCAATAAAATACATAAATACACAAAACTTAAAACCAGATAAAATCAAATTAAATCATTTTGGCCCAGACAGATTAAAACACCCCAATAATTTAAAAACAGATTAAAATTTACATATTAAAAGAGGGAGGAGATTAGGCCAAGCCCGCTTGATGGAATAAAAAGGTCTTCACAGCGTGGCGGAAGGTGCGCAGATCCGGGATTACTTATCAATTAATTGCCATTACCAATAAATAATCATTTGCATATAATCTCAGTTTATACTATTTAAGTTTTGAAATTTCCAATGTGTCCAAATTGCAGTTCACCATATTCTAGTCAAACATTTAAGATTTTTTTTTTCATGAAGCAATGAGGTGCCACTTCATCTAGTCCTCGATTTAAGACAGATCACTTAGCGACTGAAGTTATAATCTATCTGAAAATGAGAATTTATAACCGAATCCAAAATTCTGATGGTTGCCCCCCACTCCTCATGGTCATGTGACCATATTTTGGAAGCTTGGCAGCACAGCCACATTTATGACTGTTTGCAATATCCTGCGGTCACTCAACAACATTTTATGATACTTTTGTGGAAAACTGGTGCTTACTTCCATTTTTGGCAAAACCGAGCCCATAGCAAACAATGGGCTTGCACTTATGACTGCTGTGGTTGCTTAACAACTGCAAAAATGGTTAGCAATGGAAATTTGGGACTTAATTGGGGTCATAAATCGAGGACTATCTGTAATGATATTAAAGAATTGTAAGGGAAAAAAAATCTAGAGTCCTGCCTTGGGCATTTTGTTGTTTGCTTCTTTCTTCAGTCTTTTGTTGCCATTTTTTTCTTCTAATCTTGAGACATTTAGCAAACAGCTGCAAAAAAACCCACAAATAAACTCAAGGTAATTTGATAAGTCTTATTTTGCTTAAGCTTTTTGTTGCTACAGAAAGCTTTCTACAGCTACCGAGCAATGTTTAATTCATAATTAAATATAACGTCTAGGTATATAGCTGTCAAGCTATTTCAAATGTGAGCCTTCACGTAAACTGCAATCTGTTTTTTAATCTTGCCAAGAAGCTCTTTATTGCTCTACAAAGTGATCCCTCTGTTCAGCTGGATCAATTTAGAAACAGTTTTGCCCCGGGAATCTATCAATTAGGTTTCATTATAGTTGCTGCTGGACTATAACCATTGACTATGCTGGAAAAAGCATGTCAAGTGCCAAGACTATACTAAAACAGGAAGGAGAAAAATAGCCAATCATTTCCTGGCGTGTCAACATGATATCATTTGGAAAAAAGGATTATACAGGAAGGCCTCGACTTACAACAGTTCATTTAGTGACCATTTGAAATTACAAGGGCACTGAAAAAAATTGACTGGTGATCATTTTTCATAGTTATGATTGTTGCAGCATCCCCAAGGTTAGGTAATAAAAATTCAGACACTTGGCTACTGACTCATATTTGTGACAGTTGCAGTGTTCTGGAGTCATGTGATCACATTTTGGGACAAGAAAAGTCAATGGGGAAGCCAGATTCACTTAACAACCATGGGACTGACTTAACAACTGCAGTGATTGACTTAATAACGGTGGCAAGAAAAGTCGTAAAACGGGGTAAAAAAATCATAAGAACTGCCTCGCTTAGCAACAGAAATTTTGGACTCAATTTTGGTCATACGTTGAGCACTACAGGCATTTTAATTGTACCCTCAGCCATGGAAGTTCCCTGGGTGACTTTGGGCCAATCATTGTTCTTAGCTAAACCTACATCATCGATGCTATCTTAGAGAAAAATGGGAAGAGAGAGCAGAATATATACCGCCTTGAACTCCTGAATAAAAGGCAGGTTATACATCTAACAGTCATATTTGATATGTGTGAAGTTAAACTAGGCATTAAAGCCTGAAACATAGACCACCTACCTGAATTACGATGGAGTGGCCATATTGTTGGATATTTCACTTTTACATTTACTAATGTATTCACATCTAGTGAGGCTTTAATTGCTCTTCCAGCAAAGGACAATCACCAGTCCTGATCATTAAACACTAACTTTCACTATTTGTATTCATCAATTACATCAGGGCTCTCCAACTGTGGCAATTTTAAGACTCGTGGACTTCAACTCCCAGAATTCCCCAGCCAATTTGAGCTACGTAAACTGCAATTTTAAACGTGTGAACTTGCAAGCAGCAAATGGTGTGTGTATATTTGTGTGTATCTGTATGTCAGACAACTCCTAACACACAGTCTCAGATGTTTTTAAAAGATGGCTGTAATGCAAAAAGGCAAAGGAAGGAAGGAAGGAAGGAAGGAAGGAAGGAAGGAAGGAAGGAAGGAAGGAAGGAAAGGAAGGATACAATTTCCCAGTCCACAAGTCTTAAAATTGTCATGTTTGGAGACCCCTGAATTTGACATAAATTTCTAAGCAGAGGCCCAATATTGGGCAATACTTCAAGGACATAAAAATGGTGGTGTATAAAATTAAAGACCTCTACAGTATCTAATTAGATGCCCAGGAAATCACATAAGTAGCTCTTAAGAACTCACTCTTAATTCTGACTCCCCTGCAACTGAAGAGTCAGTTTGATGTAGCGGTTAAGGCATCAGGCTAAAAACTGGGTGACTCCGAGTTCTAGTCCTGCCTTAGACATAAAGCCACCTGGGTGATCTTGGGCCAAACCCTTTCTCTCAGCCCTAGGAAGGAGGCAATGGCAAACTACGTTGGAGAAAGGTTTCCAAAACCCTACAGGAACTAGATCAGGCAGTTACCAGGAGTCAAAAAGAGTGTTGAAGGCACAAAAGAACCAAATAGCCATCATTATGAGAAACTCTTCACTTGGTCTTCACCTGCCCTCCACCCATCATTTAAATCTATGAAACCATCTAGGATGGTAAAGGCTTACATATGCCTACTTTGTGTTATATAGCAATAATGAAAATAACATATAAGGCCCTAAATTGTTACCCTCTGCAGATCTTCACTAAAGAAAGGCTGGGTGGGTCTGGTCAGAAGTTTGTCTACACTGCCCAACTCTTGTAAAACCATCAGCTTCTTGGTTGGAGGTGCAATATGCAAGGCGGCTAGCGTATCCTCGTAATTTGTAAGCTGCTTTTGCATGGTAGCTTTGCTGAGCTGCTTCACCGGGTCAATGAGTAACTTCCTTTTCTTTTTACTTTTTTGTTTCTTTAGGAGAGCTACATACAAGAGACATACACAAAGGACATGTTACATGCCAACCAGGGAGTGCTAAGCAGATAATTATCACATCGTACTAATCCATATTTATCTTTGCAGGGCTAATAAAATGTTGGTATTGCAAAGAACCTTCCACCTTTTTTTTACATACATATACAAATACATACATATATATGTATATGTATATTTTATTTTACATACATATATATAAAAAGGGACGCGGTGGCTCAGTGGCTAAGATGCTGAGCTTGTTGATCGAAAGGCCGGCAGTTCAGTGGTTCGAATCCCGAGTGCCGTGTAACGGGGTGAGCTCCTGTGACTTGTCCCAGCTTTTGCCAACCTAGCAGTTTGAAAGCAGGTAAAAAATGCAAGTAGAAAAAATAGGGACCACCTTTGGTGGGAAAGGAACAGCGTTCCGTGCGCCTTTGGTGTTGAGTCATGCTGGCCACATGACCACAGAGATGTCTTCGGACAGCGCTGGCTCTTCGGCTTTGAAATGGAGATGAGCACCGCCCCCTAGAGTCGGGAACGTCTAGCACACATGCGCGAGGGGAACCTTTACCTTTACCTATATTTATTTTGTTCAGGACAAGGTTAAACTATAAAACTCAAAAAAAAAAAAAAAAGTGGATGAGGGGCAGACACTGATCTAGGCCTCTCTGGTAGGTTCAGATCTGGGCATGAGGTTAAACCAATGACCCCCAAGCCTTTGGGGCGACAGGGTGGGGTTCCCTGGGGAGAGATTTTTCTGCATTCTGGAGGGGTCGTGGTTTCATGTGCTGCCTGTATCCCACAGATGGGGCTTCGCTTGTTTGTGCAGCCCAGTTTCTGGCATGCCCGGCCTGGTGCCAGTCCATGGACCGAGGTTTGGGGATTCCTGAGGTAAACCACACTGGTCACTCTTCATGAAAGACTTGGGGTTGAGCTTAAATGGAGGTGGTGAGACTATTTTTATCCTCTTTCCATTTCCAGTTACTCAACATAGTATCCTTTTGGGTTTCCTGCAAAGGTTGGGAGTTGGGGCAAGGTGCTATAGTGTTCTGCACCTACCTGAATGGGCAAGTCCAGCTGGTAACATTTAAATTAGTGTAGAGGAGTACCGGCATATACAGGTTGTCCTCCATTTACAATCATTCATTTAGTGACCATTCAAAATTAAAATGGCAGTGAAAATTGATTTATGACCGTTTTTGACATGCTTTTTGCAGCATCCCCATGGCCTCATGATCAAAATTCAGATACTTGGCAATTGATTCATATTTATGACGATTGTAATGTCCCAGCGTTGGGTGATCCCCTTTTGCGATCTTCTGACCAGCGAAGTCAATCGGGAAGCCAGATTCACTTAACAACCATGTGACTCACTTAACTGCAGATTAGCAAGGAAAAGCTTGGGCTAAATTGTGGTCATAAGTTGAGGACTACCTATAGATAGACTACCTACCTGTAGGAGGAATTCAACACCCATTACATAAAGACCAACTGAGTTGTTAAAGGGAAGAGAGAGTAGGAAAGAAACTCAAGATTACTCTGCTTTATTTCTCTTTGCTATAAGGTCCCCAAAACCAGGGACTTTCCTGGTTTTTCTTTTTGAAGACATTTCGCTTCTCATCCAAGAAGCTTCTTCAGCTCTGACTGACACCTGGTTGTTTGCATTCTTTTATCTAGTAGAAGATTCAGCCGTCCAGCTGCATTTAAAAGACAAAGGCCAGTCTTTTGAAGACAGCAAAGTCCACATTTTGGACAGAGAGGACCACTGGTTTGGAAGAGGGTGTCAAAGAGGCCATCTGTGTCCAAATTGAACAGCCCTCTCTCAAAAAAGGGGAAGGGATACAACATCATCTATCTCCCGTCTACAACATGGTCCTTTCAACAGTTCCAAGAAGGCTCCACACCCGTTTGCACCACTCAGGTGATCCTGGGGACCCAGACAAACCTCCAAGTGGCCTCAACGACCCTCTAAAAGGATGCAAATGGCCAGCTGTCTGGAAGGAATATAAATCCTTCCCTTTCCCACCCTCCAGTCAGAACTGAAGGAGCTTCTTGGATGAGGAGTGAAACGTCTCCAAAGAATAACCAGAAAGTCCAGATGCTTCTTGAAAAGAGCACCTTTGGGACAACCATGGCCTGGATGACTGAGAATCTCCATAGACACTTTGGTATAAGGCGTATGGGTTAGGGGTTGGTGAAGGAGAGAGAATGTCTGTTAGGTTTTCAAGGTTCTGATATACTCTTAACAATAAAACAGATTCCCAGTAAGTCTGTTTCTTCAGCTGGCTTACTTTAGGAGCTGAAAACGGGCAAATTAGATTTAGATTTACTGTTGTAATTAATTATATTTTATTTTGAACTGTGTTTTGTAATTTCTGTAAGCTGCTTAGAATTTGGTTTCAGGCAGTAGGCAAATCCTATGAATAAATAAACAAATGAACTTAACATATCAAGGACAATCCTTTTTAGAAAATAAAGAAGACTAAGAAGACCACTTCTATTGAAAAAAAAAAAAATGTTTCCATGAAATGCTTTTCTGGATGTGTCATCACTTCTATATTGCATTTTTATTCCTGACAGAAACAAACAATTCTAACCTGGATCAACAATAGGATAAAGAACAAAGCCCTCTTCCTCACTGCACAATAACGTTGTTTCATCAAGTTGGTGATGTCTTGTTTCATGTTTGGATACAGCCTTGTTTGGATCCATAGTAGGGTCTGCCGATTCAGACAATCACAGAGTTAGGAGTAATTTCTAGAAGCATTATTCACACTAGTAAAACAGTTTAAAATAAACTCACCTTTTCTGTTATCAACTGGATCTTTGGGGGGTAAAGGAAGTTCCTCTTCCATGTCAAATATTGCAAGGAGGCCATTCTGGTCAGTTCCAAGAACATCATCTTAAGAAAATAATTATAGTATATAATAAATAATTATAGTATATAATTTTTTTTTTAAAAACCCTATTTTTATGTACATATTTATGTACATATTTTATATAGGTAGTCCTTGACTTTCAACCATTCGCTTAGTAACTGTTTGAAGTTACAATGGCACTGAAAAAAAGCAATTTATGACCAGTTCCCACACTTTTACTGTATGACTGTGGCTGCATTCCCATGGTCACGTGATCAGAATTTAGGCACTTGGCAACTGGCGTGTATTTATGACAGTTGCACTATCCCAGGTCATGTGATCAATGTTTGCGACCTTCCCAGTCGGCTTCCGACAAGCAAAATCAATGGGGGAAGCCAGATTTGCTTGACGATCACATGACTCACTTAACATCTGCAACAATTTGCTTAACAACCATGGCAAAAGGACGTAAAATGGAGCACAACTCATTTACCAACTGCCTGGCTTAGCAACAGAAATGTGGGACTCAGTTGCGATCGTAAGTCGAGGACTATGTAGAAAAAAGCAAAAGCTTTACTAGAACATAACCAGGCTATTAAACTTTTTGGGTAATTTATGCACATCTTAGAAAATCTATTGGTCAGCTATAGTTAGACTGGATTTTGTTTATACCTACCAATCATATCTCTTCCAGCTCCTTCATCTCCAAATCCATCATACTCTAATGCAATTTTGTCTCCAGTTAAATTCGAAGAACTGTGATCAGCCAGGAGGCTGTTGGAGCTGTTTATGAAACTGTCACTGAAAAAGCTAGCGTGCCTTGGAATTTCAATGTCTTCATCTGTGAGAAACACATATGAATAACTCAGCTATGTTTATATATCTCGGACATGCAAATACTTTGCAGCAAGTTAAAATCAGTTGCTTATAAAAACTGAACCCAGAATGCAACTTTTGAAAATAAAATAAAAACCCTTTGTATTTTGATTTATGAGGGGAAAAAGAGTTGCAACCTCACCAAAATTGCCCCTATGGAGAACATTCAGCCCATAAAATTCTGTCAATGTGATGTCCTCAGTTTTGCTCTGGTGCAGTGTAAAATGTTGGGCGACCTCAATGGCACTATTGGAAAAGAAGAAAATGAACTGAAGAAAGAGTTTTAGGAAATGCTATATAACTGGACCATAATGTCCTAATTCACAAAACGTATCATATTTTAATATATTTGATCCTAATGAAATTGCACTTCTACCGCCTTTCACTTACTACTCCATAAAGGGATTAAGAAATGGTTAGTAGCACAGATTTAGCAACAAGGGCTGCTTCAGTTACTACATTCATCTGTCTTCATCCCAAAAATACAGTTCAAGAATTAGAAACTAACAATGTACAGGTAGTCCTCGACTTACGACCATAATAACTGATAGCACTTAGCGTTATATAGTGCTTTACAGCCCTCTCAAAGCGGTTTACAGAGTTAGCATATTTGCCCCCAATGATCTGGGTCCTCATTTTACTGACTTTGGAAGGATGGAAGGCTGAGTCAACCTTGAGCCTGGTGAAATTCGGACTGTCAAACTGCTGGCAGCCGGCAGTCAGCAGAAGTAGTACTGCAGTACTGCACTCTAACCACTGCACCACCACTAGATGAACTATAGCTATATAGAATTGTGGATTTGACAGGCAAGGAGAGGCAATAGTTCAAATTCATCACCATAAAACTAAAATTTATAATGGGGAAGGACCTGTAGGGCAGTACAGGTAGTTCTCAACATACAACCACAATTGAGCCCCAATTTTTTTTTGCTGAGACAATTGTTAAGTGAATTTTGCCCTATTTTACAAACTTTCTTGCCACAATCGTTAAGTGGATCTCTACAGTAGTTAAATTAGTAACACCGTTGTTAAGTGAATCTGGCTTCCCCATTGACTTTGCTTGCAAAAAGATGGCCAAAGGTAATTGCATGACCCCCAGGACACTGAAACCATCATGGGTCAGTTGCCAAATATCGGATCCCATGAAAATGGGGGATGCTGTAATGATCGTGAGAAAAATGGTCACATTTTTCAATGCCATTGTAACATTGAGTGGACACTAAATGACTTCCTGTAGCAGAGAAAAAGGATTGTGTTTTTGTTCCTCCACATGTATTATGCAGAAGTAGGCAAGAGCCGCGGTGGCGCAGTGGTTAGAGTGCAGTACTGCCTGCTACTTTTGCTGCCTGCCGGCTGCCTGCAATTTGGCAGTTCAAATCTCATCAGGCTCAAGGTTGACTCAGCCTTCCATCCTTCCGAGTGGGTAAAATGAGGACCCAGATTGTTGGGGGGAAATATGCTGACTCTGTAAACCGCTTAGGGAGGGCTGTAAAGCACTGTGAAGCAGTATGTAAGTCTAAGTCAGAGATATCAAACTCGCGATGACATGTTGTTGTCACATGATGTATCGCAACTTTCCCCCCCTTTGCTAAATTGGGGATGGGCGTGGCCAGTGTGTGACGCATCTGGTCCCTGGGCAGTGAGTCTAAATGATATAAGTGCTATTGCTATAAAGTTTTGAGTGATTCACCATCCCTGAGAAAAGGGAATTCAGAAGGAATTCATTCCCTTTTCACTTGCTCTATTCTTAGCAATAAACAAACGTTGGAAAATATTTACTTTGTGTCTGGAAGTTGGGTGTCAAAATCATAAAACTCTTCAGGAAGTGTGATGGCATCATAATTAGCCTCAGAATTTCCTTTTGGAAGGTCAACAAGCCCTAAAGAAAAATACATAAAGTAAGATTAACTGTGGGATGATGTAGCTTTATATATCCTGCAAGATAAAAATGGGCAGGTATTTGAAGGCATCCAGCAAATGTATTCACATTTTTTTCTTTTTACCTGGTGGTCATTAATTATATGGTAGAAAATATTACTTCATTTGTCAATTGAATAATACCATTACAATTACAAAAATATTCTGTTGCTAGGGCAATTCTATTCAGAAATAAGTCTTTGGAAATTACTTCTACTTTGGTTTTTAGAATTGCAATCTCTAAATGAAGTAGTTTATGATCCACTACTTGTTTGAAATGGTATAGGGTCTCCTGCTTGAGCAAAGGGTTGGACTAGAAGACCTCCAAGGTTCCTTCCAGCTTTATTATGATCTTGAGACTGCCTTTCAAGTATCTCCTGAATTCTGAAGAACCACTTGTTTTGTTTTTGAAAATTAAAGCCCTTTCTTTACCATTAATAAGCTGCTTGTTAATAATAAGTAGAGGAAAATCATACCTGGTTGAAAAGTTGATTGCATTTTAAGTAGGGCTTCACTGCAGTCTGTCAAAAGATACTTGGTTTTTCTGTGATAAATCCTCACCACTCCTAGCAAAAGGTGTCCCAAGGTACGAAGAGCAATTTTAAACTGGGGGGGGGGAAAGTTGGTATTATTTATGGAAAAGATCACAATGGAATTAAGAGTAATTTTCCTGGTTCTCATTTTTCTTAAAAGCAGTCCAAGAGAGTTAATGGTATCCAAATGGGAAGAGAGGGCATCACTTTCAGAAAATACTGGCTTAATCATGTTGTACTTAGGCATGAAAGCCAGCTGAATGATTTTGGGCCAATCATCAGGAGACTTGGAGTTCTAGTCCCGCCTTAGGCATGAAAGACAGCTAGGTGACTTTGGGCCAATCACCAGGAGACTTGGAGTTCTAGTCCCACTTTAGGCATGAATGCTGGCTGGGTGACTTTTAGGGCAATTATTCTCTCAGCCTACCAGCACTCTGGATAATTGGTTTTACCACTGAACTGCTCCTATTGTTAGGAACTGTTTCTTGATCTTAAATTAGTATCTGCCTTCCTGTAACTTGAAAACATTATTCTATATGTTACATACCGAGGTGATAAAGAGTTCTTGACTTTCTTTGGTGTGACAACCCTTTTTAGTTTTGTTTTTTCTGAAAGACTAAACATATCTAGATCTTCAAGGTCTTGCTATAGAACTTAATTTACAATGCCACACCCAGTGCTGAATAAAAATAAGAGACATTATTTTTGGTGACATTTTATGAGAGCCATACCTTAGGGGAGAGCATTTTTTCAATGGTAGCTTCTAAATTGCATTCAAATATATGAGCCTTTGTGACTTTCTTATCCCAGTGAGCAGCCAGCCATATCTTGGACAAAGGCCCACGCTTATTTATAAGCAGCTGCATGTAGAACATTTTGCCAGAAATGTATTCCTTAACTTGGCAAGCTAGAGGGAAGAAAATATTTTAAATGTTGAATACATAGTTTTTTTGTAATTTTTCAAAGCTAAAATAAAAAAAATGGCAATCTTAATTTGAAATAAATGACTTACAAAAAAGGAGAAACCCTTTCATTTGTATTTTCATGTTTTCATGCTTGCAAGTTCTTTTAAACAAATGCATGACTTGTGTACAGTCTAGGTAATTGCTTAAAGTACTATTGGCTACTTGCGTTTACGATACATAATCTGTATGTTATAATTAATTTGTCTTCATGCAACATTTATGTACTGAAACAGTTTCCAAATCAAACTAATAATATTGTTACTGAAATACATAATTAATTTTGGCAAAGTGAATATATTGAAACAATGTTGTTTTCCTTGCTTCTGTTGCAAAAATAAGAAAATTGTTGTTTTCTCAATGAATTTTAGTCTATTTGAAATATAAGTGAGTCCAATTTTATTCATGTGGTATTAAGCAAGCAAGTAGCTACAATAATCAAACATATTAGGGTGTGCAAACATTTGTTTTTAGAAACCACAAAGAAAATACACACAAGAAATGAAATACTTTTCTAGGAGAGGTTTTTTAAGAATAATTATCTTAAAGGTACAGATATAAGAATGGTTTGGGATGCAAGCAAAGCTTTCATGAGAGGTTACTTTATACAACATACAAGTAAATTCAAAAAGAAGAGCTACCTATTTGGGGTGAGATAAAAAGAAGAAAAGAAATTTCCAGAGAAGACACATATTTCTGAACATATTAAGTAAGCTTCTCCAGCACTTTTCAACAGGAAAAGTTGGAGCTTAGTTGATAGTTGTTTAAGATGGCTGAATCAAGGGATGGTCTCAGAATAGGAGCACCATTACATCTTTCAACGATCAGGTCTGTTAACAAGCTGTTCCTTAGTCTGTGCTCCTTGTTAATAATTCAAATATATTTGCATAAAAGATCACCACAACTTCCAGGAAGGACTGAACTTCTGGTGGGGCTTCAAGGCAAATTAGATATCCCCAGATGAGTGGAGAGAGCATTGCAGTGAACATAGGTGAATTCTGGCTAGCAAATTCTCTCTGGAAAAAGGACATATCATGAGATTGCCCACTTCTACCCTGGACAGTTGCTCCTTGTGAGGTGTTGTTTAGTCGCCAAGTCGTGTCCAACTCTTACAACCCCATGGGCCATAGCATGGCAGGCTCCCTTGTCCTCCACTGTCTCCTGGCATTTGCTCAAATTCATGTTCATTCATGACATCTCCTCCTCTGCCATCCCTTCTCCTTTTGCCTTCAATCTTTTTCAACATCAGGGTCTTTTCCAAGGAGCCCTCTCTTCTCATTTGGTGGCCAAAGTATTTGAGCTTCAGCTTCAGTATCTGCCCTTCCAAAAAACAGAGTTGAGTTATTTTCAGATTGACTGATTTATTCTCCTTGCAGTCCAAGGGACTCTCAAGAGTCATCTCGAGAACCATAATTCAGAAGCATCAATTCTTTGGTGCTCAGTCTTCCTTATGGTTCAACTCTCATGGTCATACATTACTATTGGGAAAACCATAGCTTTGACCATACTGACCTTTGTTGGCAAGGTGATGTCTCTGCTTTTTAATATGCTGTCTAGGTTTGCCCTAGCTTTCCTCCCAAGGAGCAAGCCTCTTTTAATTTCATGGCTGCAGTTGCTGTCTGTAGTGATCTTGGAGCACAAGAAAATAAAATCTGTCACTGCTTCCATTTCTTTCCCTTCTATTTGCCAGGATGAGATGGGACCAGATGTCATCTTAGGCTTTTTTTTTAATGTTGAAGTTCAAACCAACTTTTGCACTCTCCTTTTTCACTGTCGAGAGGCTCTTTAGTTCTTCTTCACTCTCTGCCATCAAAATGGTATCATGTGCATAGGTTGTTGATATTTCTCCTGGCAATCTTAATTCCGGTTTATAATTTATCCAGCCTGGCATTTTGCATGATGTACTCTACATATAAGATAAATAAGAAGGGTGACAATATATCAGCCTTCTCGTACTCCTTTCCCTGTTTTGAACCAATCAGTTGTTCCATGTCCAATTCTAAATGTTGCTTCTTGACCCGCCTGCAGGTTTTTTCAGGAGACAGGTAAGGTGGTTTGGCACTCCCATCCCTTTAAGAACTTTGTTGCGATCCACATAAAAAAAAAAGATTTAGCATAGTCAATGAAGCAGAATAGTTTTTCTGGAACTTCTTTGCTTTTTCCATAATCCAGCAAATGTTGTCACTTTAATCTCTAGTTCCTCTGACTCTTTGAAACCCAGTTTGTACTTCTGGTAGTTCTCGGTTCTCATATTACTGAAGTCTAACTTGTAGGATTTTGAGTGCAATCTTGACAGCAAGTGAAATTAGCACAATTGTACGGTAGTTTGGTCATTCTTTGGCTTTGTCCATTTGGGGATTATAAATTGCTTTTTCCAATCCCGTGGCTCCTGTTATGTTTTCCAAATTTGCTGGCATATTGAGTGCAGCACTTTTAAAGCATCATCTTTTAGGATTTTAAATAGCTCAGCTGGAATACCATCACACCCGCTAGCTTTGTTGTTGGCAATGCTTCCTAAGGTTCAGTTGACTTCACACTCCAGGATCTCTAGCTTGAGATCAGTGATCACACCACTGTGGTTATAAGGAACATTAAGATCATTCTCATATAGTTCTTCTGTGTATTTTTGCCATCTCTTCTTAATCTCTTTTATTTTTGTTAGGTCCCTACCATTTTTATCCTTTATCATGCCCATTTTTGCACGAAATGTTTCCTTGGTGTCTCCAATTTTTTAAAAAGAGATCTCTAGTCTTTCCCAATCTATTATTTTCCTTTCTTTCTTTGCATTGCCATTTGAGACCTTCTTATCTCTCCTTGCTATTCTTTGGAAATCTGCATTCAGTTGGGCATAGTTTTCCCTTTCTCTCATCTTTTGCTTTCCTTCAAACAGCCACTTCGCTTTCTTGCATTTCTTTTTCTTTGGGATTGTTTGTTACCACCTCCTGTACAAAGTTACAAACCTCCATCCATAGTTCTTGAAGCACCTTGTCTATCAGATCTAATTCCTTAAATCTATTCATCACCTCCATGCATAAAGGATATGGTTTAAGTCGTACTTGAATGGCCTACTGGTTTCCCCAACATTTTTCAATTTAAGCTTGAATTTTGCAATAAGAATCAGCGGTAGGGCCATATGCTCGGATTACTGTGATGTTGAATGATTTGCCTTGGATTCAAACCAATCATTCTGTCATTTTTAACACTGTGCCCATCTCCTGCTTGAGGCAGGGGGTTGGACTAGAACAACGGTCACTAACTGGTGGTCCGTGGACCACTGGTGGTCCGTGAGAAAATTTTGGTGGCCTGCAGAAAAATTATTTGCATTTTTTATATTGCATTATATCATGGGTCTTCAAACCCTGGGCAAGATATGTGCAATGAATGTTTGTGTTACTGCAGAGAGTCTCCCCCTTCGGGGTCTTCTTGTGTGGGTTGGAGTGGGGCAGAAATTCCAACTTCTGCTTCAGCCTCCTGATGCAGGGCTTTGGACAAAAGCTGGAGGGAAGTGCCGCTGGTGGCGAAGAACCAGAGGGCCTTGTTCCAGTGGGACTGTTGCATCATGGCCTGGAACTGGCTGACCATCTCAGCCCGCTGAACCTCCAAGCACCGGTACCTGGCCTTGCACTCCCGCAGGTCTTCCCTCTGCTTGAAAAGTGTATGTTTGGAGTCCTCAATGATGTGCTTCTGCTGAGCCTCCTTCTCGGTCAGATCCAATTTGAACTGAGCCAGCTGTTTTGCCAACTCTTTCTTGTGGTGGCTGCTTAGGCTCCAACAACTGCTTCCTGTTGGGGCCCTAAGGAGCCCAGGCGGGCAGGGGAGGAGTGGCTGGGAGGGGAAGGGCGTGTAGAGGCTGGCGAGGTGCCCCTCGCCCACTCACTTGATGTGAGTGACATCAAGTTGTCCACACCCACCCAATCACATGACCACCTAGCCATGCCCATCCAGCCGGTCATTAGGCAGATCATATTAGCGGTCCACGGGATTTAAAATTATGAATTTAGTGGTCCCTGAGGTCCGAAAAGTTGGTGACCCCTGGACTAGAAGACTTCTAAGGTCCCTTCTAGCCCTAAGATTCCATGATTCTAACTAAAGAACATTCCTAATGTATAATATAATAACAAATGGCTGTTCATTTGTTGGAAGTTTTCAAGGAAAGATCGGACCACCATTTGTTTTCAGATGGAATGAAGATTCCTGCTTGAGGCAGGAGGTTGGACTAGAAGACCTCTGAGGTCGCTTCCAGCCCTAGGATTACTTATTAAATTTATGTTTATTATTTTTATAATGTATAATTATAAATTTGTCACCCATCTCACTGACAACTCTTGGGGTGATTTTATAAATTTACCCACACTATAAAACCAATCTCTGTGATTGAGGCACTAAAAAAAGGGGCAACTTGTGAGGAAAAAAATGAGAAAATAAAACTTCCACAGGGGACTGCATATCCCATTATCCTCAGCCAGGCAACCTGATAGAAAAGCTGCGGAAGGAAGCCTGAGGGATGGTGTGTTTTTTCCCCCCTTCCTTTCCTTATTTGCCAATTAAGAAAGTGTTTTTCCCCTCCTCTCTGGGCTATAAAAATCGGATTAAGGCATTTGCTGAGGTGATTCGTTTCGTAATCCTTCAGGAGCAAAAAAAGGAAGAGAAGGCGCTTCTATGTGAGGAGAAAAAAAACAAAAAACAGGATTTAATTAAGTTTGTAGACTTAAGCATGCAAATTCTCCTCAGGCGTTTACAAAGCCATCTCTCACCTCCGGAATCTTCCCGCCCAAAAGCGCAAGCAAAGAGCGCATGCGTGTTTCTAAAAAGCCAAGCGCGCCTGCGCGCGCTGGATTAATCTATTTCCTCCCCCCCGACTCCCCCCATTCCCGCGCGCTAGACCGAGAGCCGCGTCTCCGACGCGCACGCGCAGATGATTGCTGAAGCGAGCCGAGGGAAAGGAGAAAGAGGGAAGGAGGGGCCGGATGAAAGGAAGAAGGGAGGGGCAGGAAGGAGGAGCCTCGGACTGTCATGTTCGAACGGAGGGGGGCGGAGCCTGATGACGTCATCCAACTCCAAGTGTATTACAATCTCATTTTTGTAGTTAGTAGTTTACTTTGTGGCTATTGTTAAGAAATGCCCATACCAAAAGACTTCATTATGCAAATAAGGAAGACTGAAATTAGACTAGACTAGACTAGAATAGACTAGAATAGACTAGACTAGACTAGAATAGAATAGAATAGAATAGAATAGAATAGAATAGAATA